AGTTTCATTTCTTGATTTAATGAAACAAAATCTTTGCTTTAGTATTCAAAATGTTTCATTATTTTTTGTTGATTATAGTATGTTTTATGTTTCATAATTTATTATGATATACCTAATTCGTTGTAGGTGACAAGAAATGAAACTGTTTCACCATTTATAGAACGAACTCACGTGACTCCTTGTCACCTAAAATGAAAGAAGGACCGATTGTCATGTAATGTTGAACGATAATTGCAAACTGTTTCATTAACAGTTATTGAATTAGTATTGGACTATTAGTAATTTCTAATCAAAATAATTTTAAAACAAGGGAAATCCAAATAAACGATGAAACATTTTTTAAAATTTAATGAAACATTTTAAAAATTGAATACATTTTAATTTAATGAACGTTTTTCATGCATAAAACGTTCCGAAATATTAAATTCATCAGTGAAATTGTGTTCATGATCACTATTGAACATGACATTCGTTTCATTAATCAAAGTACATATATTTTTTTCAATGAAACGAACACATATTTCATATTCTACTGCTTTTACAATTCATATTTTAATAAGTATAATTTAATAAAATAATAAAAAATATTAATGGTAAAAAAATTATATTAAGATAAAAGATTTACCTCCTTCCATAAGAAACGTTTCTATTAATAAATTTCCATAATTAACAGTAGTTATTAAGATATACATAATTAATTGTTGGGGATTTGGCAAATTTGCTCCTTTTTTAATTAAAAATTAAACTTTTATTTTTTAATTTTATTTTATTTCATAATAAAAACTCATTTAATATTGACCATTGATGGAGAAAATGGATGAATGAGATTAGTTTGTAAGGTTTTCACAAATGAGGGTGCTTTGCAATTGATCCCTCCTCTCTCTCTCTCTCTCTATCTCTACACATACACACACAAACACACACACACACACAAACACACACACACACACACACACACACATATATATATATATATATATTAGGTTCGGATCCGTGTAATAATTGACAAAAATTAAACGAAACTGATATGTTTTTTATAAAGAATTAATAAATGGAGGTAATTTATAAACTTAGACAAAGTTATAAGTCCGATTAATTTTTTGATATAAAGATGCTCTTACTCGAGAATTAAATGTTACATATACAAAGGACGGCTTGTGCTTCGATGATCAGAAAAACTTCTAAATGAAGACGAACAATGTAGATCCAGTATGCAGCGCTGCGTAGTACATGCAGAGCCTTTGTATACCTCTGTATGAGACAAGCAAAGGGAATAAGAGGTTCTGGGTAGTACATGCAGAGAGAGAACTCTTACTCAAGACAAGTATAGAGCCTCTATGAAGCTCTGTATGAAGGACGGAGGCAGGCTTCAAGGACACAAGCGTAAAAAAATTTCAAAAGATTAAGACGTTATAGTTACAATTCTGAAGGCCATCTTCAGAGTAAGAGACAGAGCATCGATGCATTACGTGAAGAGACAGAGCTCTTTCTCAAGACTTAAATACAGAACCTCTGTGCAACTCTGCATGAAACACGTAGTCTGGTTCAGATTGACCGCAAAGCGCATGCAAAACCTCTGTTAAGCTCTGTATGAAGGACGAAATCAGGCTTGACAAATACAAGGTCTAAGAAATTCTCCAGAGTTCACGACAGACAATATCCAGCGTTGCAAGACTTCTAAATCAAGATGACCAATCTGGCTAAAAGTGTGAAGCTCTTTTTAAGAGTTAATTGCTAAAATTAGCCAACGCTACAAGTTTGTATAAATTTTCCGTGAACAGAGGCTCTGCATTGTAGATGCAGAGCTGCTGTGTAGCTCTGCATGAAGCACGAAATCATGCATAGAGGTGCTGCGTGGTTTCTGCAGTACCTCTCTAAAGCTCTGTATGAATTACCGAAGTTTGGTCAGAGACTCTGCTTAGTACATGCAGTCCCTCTCTAAAGCTCTGTATGAAGCATGGAGTCCGGGTGAGAGAATTTGCGTAGCACATGAAGATTCTCTATGGTCGGATAATTATAATGCAGAACATAAATGAAAAATAAGCCTCTTAAGAATTAATAATAATATGAGTTAATAAGATGAAGTTGTAAAACAATATTTTTAACACAATATAAACTGAACAAATATAAGTTAAATATGTAAAACGTTAATAAAATAAGAACCATGTATCATATATTACTAAACATTTCTTTGTATACAACTTTCGTTGTTTTACTGTCAATAATACCATCATCCTCCATAATTAGTACTTTCAAATCTTGCTTGCTTTTGACTCTGGATAAAGCAACATATAACTGACCATGTGTGAAGACCGGTTGTCTTAGAAATAAACCAACTTTTGATAATGATTGTTCTTGGCTCTTATTAATGGTCACGGCAAAACATACAACAATTGAAAACTGTCTCCTTTGAAATTTGAATGGTATCCTTTTGTCTGTAGGTGTTAAGGACATTTTTGGAATGAATGTACGGCTTCCAATATTGCTTCCAGATATAACCTGTGCTTCTATTACTCGATTTCCCAATGTTAACACCCACAGTCTAGTACCATTACATAATCTAGATTTCTGATCAATATTCCTTAGTAACATGATAGGAACACCAACTTTTAGTAAAATCTTATGGTTTGGTATTCCTGATAATTTAAGACCATTTAAAACATCAGGAGAGTACAAAGTTTTATCAAACTCATCATGAAGTTGCTCTAATTTACATAACGTATCTAAACTTAAGTACTCCTTTTCTTCTCCTGGAAACAATGATAGCAAACAATCATTTATTTTTATTGAACTACTTCATTTTTTGGTGCAAGTATTGCTCGTTCTTGAAAATAAGCTGAGTTGTTGATGTTTTCAAGAATTGAGGGATAGACAAATTCAATTAATGCAGATATAGGATTGATGCAATCGGTAATGAGAAGATCATGAAGTATCTCAATAACTGCTTCACCATCATTATCACTTCCAACTTTTCCTTCTCCTAAGTCCAAAATCCATTTTGCAAAATCCCTTGTTTGTTCAATTTCTGAACTCTCACTGTTTGCAGTTAGCCTCATGTTCCTAGTTAACCTTAGGACTTTGCATTTTTCCCAAATGTAAGATGAACTTAATGATGCATTTACGATGTCTTGTCTACCTGCATTGGGAATAACCGGTAGAATCTGTCTGAAATCTCCTCCAAAAACAATTACCGTACCCCCAAAAAGCATATGTGAGTCACTACTGCGTTGAGCATGGGAAATATCATTCATACTTCTATCTAATGCTTCAAATGCATGTTTATGAACCATTGGTGCCTCATCCCATATTATCAAAGTAGTTTTCTTTATTAAACTCACAACATCACTGTCTGGCTTCATGTGGCAAAGAGAATCTTCATTGAGAATGAGCAGGATGTGAAACCGAGAGTGTGCTGTTCCGCCACCGGTAAGAAGTAAAGATGCAATACCACTGGAAGCAACATTTAAAATAATTTCTCCTTTAGATCTTATTGATGTAGCCAAGGTCTTCCAAATGAATGTTTTAAATGTTCCGCCATGCCCATAAACAAAAAAATACACAACCTTTTTTCTTTTCAACCGCAGTCATGATTTCATTATACACACCTCTTTGCTCATTTGTTAGAGTAGTTACAAGTGTCTGAAACTCATCACGTAATATGATGATTATAGTCCAGTTCTTCTGCAATCAAATGGTTGTTTGAGGATTCAAGCGAATCATTATCAGGATAAGGCAGAGTAGTGAAGTCTTTCAACGTGGAATTGTTACGAAGCAAAATATTTTCAATTTCGAACAAAATTAGATTCTTCACTTGTTCTTCATTAAGAGATAAATCTGTAAGAAAGATAATATAAATGTAAACAATTAATAAATGAAATTAAAAGTAGATACAATTTAATAACAACCATAGTTTTTGATAATAGTTGTATAACTCTATACTTAAGATATAGAATTAACATACCTGGCGACTGTAAAGCAATTCGTTGATTGTACAAAATCCCATCTGCTAAGTATTGCCATGTTTTTTCCCAAACAAATTAAGGTTAATCAGCATGGTTGCAAATAAGAAGCGGAGATAAAAACCAGATGCAGTTAAATTTGCCTCTTCAATGGCTTCAATATATTCTTTGTCATTGTCTAAAAACCCAAGAGCATAACATGCATCTCTAAAAGTAAGAAATGTTTTTCCATTAACTGTACGAATGTCTTCAAATGATTTAGGACCTTTGACTTTATTTAGAAGAATCGTAAGTAATACCCTTATCCTACAGTAGAAGAAACTGAATGAATCTGTCCAATTGAGAATCCTTTTTTCCTTCGATCCCAACGTTGTTCGTCCAATTTCCACACAAACTTTGTAGGGAGTTCAACGTAAGTGAGTTCTCGTGCTTCTTGATAAAGTTGATTACAATGTATTCAAGCTAAGAACATTGAGGACACCACAGATGGTCTGTTTAGGACTTATCAGTATTATCTTCAGCACCAAACACCACTTGTTGTTGTCCCAGAAGATGAAAAGGAAGTCTTAAAATAGAAGGAGTCCTGTAATGAACATCATATCCAAAAATACACCATGAAGCTTCACATGCAGAAAGGTATCTACAATCATAATACTCTTTTATCTTATCAACAACATTAATAGTGACCACATCATTACTGTTTTCTACAATTGCAACAGTAGCTCTATCTGGACCCTTGTTGATATATTTGAACAGATACTTGATTGAAGATGCCTGATTGCACCACTCAACATTAATGTGTGCTTGATATCTTTTCAATAAATGTTTATTATATGGAACGACATTTCTGTTGTTTATTTTAACACCTGATTTTTCACTAAAACGTCCATCAACTCATCTGCGGTATACAGGATAACCATTAACATCAATTGAAGTGTGTTCAGAAAATTTCTTCGGGTATTTTTTTGAACACTTTCTATCAACCATGCATGGACAATTAATGTTTTCTTCACCACATGGTCCATGCATCATGAACTCTTTTACAAGTAAGTACAAGTCTGGATCACTGTTTTTGTCTGGGATCTCAGCTGAAATGATAGGATAAATCTGTTCAACAGTAGGTAGCTTGAAATCTCGATGCATAAACAAACAAATATGACTGTGAGGCAATCTACGCTTTTGAAATTCAATTGTATAAACAACTACAAAAAAAAGTTACAATTTAAATTAATAAAGATAAGACTAAAAGTATGAAGAAATATGTTGATACTGTTATCACAAATTGAACATACCTGCTTGAATTTTGCCAAAAAAAAACTCATTCTCTTTCAATTCTCTAATAAGTGCATCAAGCTTAATCTTAAATAAATGACAAAGAATGTCAGGCTTGTCTTCTGGATTTAGACATGTGTTCTTAACAAATCTTCTAATTTTCTGGCCATTTTGGATTGCAAGTCATGGTTAGGAACAAGTCAGGATATCCATACCATTTAGAAAGGGACATTGCATCCAAATAATTTTGCATCATGTACCGAGCACCATCGATGAAAGAAGAAGGTAGTATAACACGTTGTCCAATGTTTGAAACATCCCACTCTCCTTGTTCTTGTACATTGCATAGATTATCATATGTCTCACACCTTAGGACTTACTGCTGCTTACATATGTAAGGCAATCTCTCACTTTCAATCATTGTGTATCCATCAACTATAAATTGCTGTAGAAGCCTCCTTGTATTGAGAAGTAATGAAAACATATTTCTTCTATCTTGAAGTTTGAAGGCGAAGATCTCCCTCATTGTTACAGTTGTTCTTTTACTTTTGCTTGAAGATGTTACCTCTCTATGGGGAATGTCAATTCTGTAACCATCTTCTTCGTATGGAAATAACAACGGATATTGAAGAGGAAGGTAAGAAGGATGTAATTCACTTATTTGTTGTAAATAACCTGTCTGATGTTGTACAGTTATATCTCTTTTTTCAATTGTATCACCATCATCTCCAACAATTAAAGCTGCAACCTCTGAAGCAGTTAGAAGGTTATATGTTCTTCCATCCTTTTCTCTTCTTCCAATCAGTCGTAACTTTAGCTTGACATCTGAGTAGCATTCAAAACAATCTCTTGCAATTCTATAAGACTTCACCAAAACATTTTTTTGCATCTAGTATGTTCTTTAAGTATTGAATAATCTCAATATCAAGGGAATCATAATTTGATGCAGAGGCTTCTTGTTGTTCACTAAGTAAATCATAACAAACATAAAATCAGAGTGACCATTAATACAACCATACTATGTAATTCAAGTAAATTTATTAAGAGATATTACAATAAGGATGAATGTATACCTAAATGAATTGTGTCTATTTGAAACTTCATTTTCGGTATCATATATGTATAGTTGAGAGAATTTTGGTTTTGTTCCATCTGGTGGTAGAAGACTACCCATCCTATGGTAGTTTTGACCATTAAACCTGTATATGTATGGTGCATTTGCACTATTAATGGAAGAATCAATTTTGCCACCCATTGATGTAAATGAGAACATTGAATTATAACGAAGAATGTTCTTCATAAAGTATTTGCTTTTTGAGTCCTCACAACGAAACATATTTACGTAAGAAGTAGCCATCTCTTTCTCTTTTGGAAGCTGAACTTTCCCATTAAGACAACAAAGGGAGTAACTTGTTTTCATCCCGCATTTTTTTCCCTCGAAGAGTTTCATCTCTCCATAGTTTTGCATCACAGCATTCACAAATAACACTTTCATCACCGTAATCCAAGTACTCTGTTTAATAAATTCGAATCTAATAACTAACTGTAAGTATTAAACATTTGATTAATCAATAATTACCTTCATATATTCCTACAATTATGTTTGTAGTTGTTACTGGATGGTCCGGTTCTTCATCTGATGTAATATCAATGATTGGTATATCAGCTACATTTACATTCCTCCTTTGTAATCTATGATGCACTGCTGATAACCGAACCATAGAAGAAGCTTGCTCTATTGTCGATAAAGGCACGGATGAATTGGCGCTAGAACGTAATCAGTAGTGTTTGTTTACATGAACACTTGCTGTTTAAAATATACAAATTTAAGTAATGTAAGACGTGTGTTAGTATTTAAAATGTATTTGAAGCATTACTTTAAAAATGAGGTGTACAAGAGATTACACATACCATTAGCACTATCAGATAATGGATTTGTGATAGTCACATCTGAAGAAGAATGTGCAAAATTTGTATGTTGATATTGTGGACATGTGTTTGGATCCATATTCTCACTATGGTAGGGAATGTTATTTCTCTGAGATGAAGATCTTAATTGCCTATCATAATTTGAGATATTATCTGTAAAAAGATAGAGGAAAGTATAATTGTCAAAAAGTGCCTTCAACAGAATTTCTGAACAGGTAATATTTGTCTCATTCAAAATCGAATTCAAAATGCTATTGACTCAGATACCTTCAACATTTGATGATGTAGACTTCAATGACTGTTTACTACTATTCAAAACCGTCTTTCTAAATTTTCTCCTTTCTCTAGCATCAATGGAATTTCTTTTTTAAAAGATCTGCAAGAAAATTAATCCTTCAACAAGAACCAGTGCATGAAGTCAGTACATAATAAAACATTATAATGAACAATCGTGAGAAAATGGACTCAGTTAGTCAGTTGTGTTAAAGAATGTTTTTTTTACTATAGTAGGAAATGGAAGTTGTCTGTGAGATGAGGCGGTTATGGAAACCGTAAATTAAAGGTGTAAATACAACGTAAATTAAGAAACTGCTTGTCAGTTTTTTTTGCATGTTCGTTTTTCAGAGTTATGTACCAGATTGTCGAGTCAGAGTGATAGGATCGATTAACTCAATTTTGGATATTAATCAAATACTCTGAATGATCTTTAAACATTAACAGTGCAGTGGAAACAATAAGAACAAACAGAGCAAATAACAATGAAGAACACAGTTGAAGAATGATGAAGAAAGAGAGAGTGGCTTCAAATGATTTTCAATTGATTGAAAATGTTTACAATACGATATGGAGGCACACTGAATTACAAAGGCCTACGCTGCTATTTATACTCGTTCCTAACGGCTTTTYTGACATGACCTAGACGTACAAATTCATCTAAGCCGTTCAAATAAAGCAGATTACAAACATAGTCACGTGATAAGCACGAGCAACTAATTAACCTAAGTAAAA